GAAAACACCTGCAGGCAGAAGTAGGGAGGACAGGGCTGAGGAGAGAAGGATGACAAGATTGGAGGAAGGAAACCATTTAGGCCTTGGCAATAATCCAGGTCTGAGAAGACCAGGCCGTTGCCACCCCACCTCACCCCACCCCACCCATCACAGCCAGTCTGCTCCGAGGAGACCTGAGGAGGCTGCTGGCTGAGAAGCGCTTGCAGAGCAGCGGTGTCTGCAGTGTTTGAGGTTGGACTGGACAGCTTGTGTGTCTCAGACACCTGTGTTGTCAGGAAAAAATAAACTCTTTTTTCAGTGATGAAGAAACAGAGTTGGCCCCAAGGCAACTGAATCTAAATACTCACTCCCTTCTTTACCTGGGGGATAGAGAGCTAGGTCACTCTTGAGGAAGCCACCTGTGGGCTGAGAATCTGTCTTTTGATCACCATGAACAAAACCTTCAGAAGAGTTGCAACCCACCAGCAGTCCCACTGGCATTCCTGTCACCCACCAGCAGTGAGGAAACAGTGGGTCCTTCCACGACAGGGTCTGGAGTACGGGCGTGAACCGCAGCCTGGTGGAACTGCCTTACCCTTTTCTTCCTTTCCTTCTTGACTTCCTTCTCAAAGGGAGACTTCTCTAAATGAAGGGTCTGCAGGCTTCTTCTTCTTAGGAGGTGTCTCCTCTTGCTAGGGTTCTAGGAGAAGCCTGCCCAGTCCCCCTTCACCACCCCATCCCCCACCCCCCATACCTCCCTGGTCTTTGTTTCCTTCTTAGGCCAGGGTGGGACCATAAGGAGAGCAACTGCGCCACCTGCTGGGCCTAGTGTGCAAGCGCCGGCTGTACCCACGGGAGGAGTATTTCCGTGGGTGGAACTACTTCTGCGGTGGAGTCCAGTGGAGTTTGGGTGTTTAAGGAGTCCTAGTTCACCAAAGAGAGCTCACAAGTTGCGAGTGGCCATGGAAGCAGCCCCATGGCTGCAGATGGCAGGAAAATGTCATGCCAACAGGCTCTCTATTGTTAGTTTAGGTGTTGGGGCACAGCGGTGAACAGTAGCAGGGCCAAACAGACTATTAAAAGGCTGTGTGGTACGGTAAGTGAGTTGGCTTCCAGGGCCCCTATTAAGTACTGATCCTAGATCTGGAAGGAGTTAGTTTAGGGTTAAGAAAGACATTCCAGAGTCCTCCCTGGTGGCGCAGCAGGTTAGGACGCAGAACTGCAAGATGGTCGCAGCTGCTTCAGTGCAAGTTCCATCCCCGCTGCACTGGAGGAGACCACATGGTGCCACAGACCTCTCCTGACCAGCCCACTGCTCCCCTCAGCAGTGTACTTGTCAGCCGGCCTGTTCTGCCCCCCACTCTGTCTCTGGCGAATCTCCTCACCGCCCCTGCTCCTCTGGCCTGCACCCCAGTTCTGTATGCAGAGCTCCCACCTGTTCCTCCTCTTACCCAAAGGAGTCTGATGTGAGCAGATACCCCTCACTCTCAGACCCAAGTCAGTCAAGGCCAGAAAGCATAGTGGCAAGATGGGAGAAGTGACTGCAGATGCTGCTGCAGGTGTTTCAATGAAATCACCTGGCATGATACTGCTGAGATTTCGCAGGAGGAATTCGAGTCAACTTTAATTCCATCAGTCTGCCTCTCTAATTAATCAATTTGATATAAATTCAACCATCATTTACTCACACAGGTCAAATGAGCTGTGTGAGCTTAGGGAAGGCAGGCCCCAAGTGAAGCTACTGCTGTGGGCTGGCTGCTGTGTGCTAGGCACTGTGCAGACTACAGAGACAAGGTGAGGCGGCGTCTCCACCCTGATGAGGCCCCTATCCCCTCACCACCACCACACACCCACACAGACATTCTGTTCTCTTCTTTTCCTCCAAGAACCCTGTTCCCAGGAAAGCAACTAATCAATTAAGCTACACTGAGTACTCAACTGAGTAGGTGTTTGTGACTGTGCCTGTCAGTTGTCTCTCTACCTAGTCTCTCCTTTACACTATGAGCCTTACTCCCCGGCCCTGCACATTTTGGTTGGGCTTTTGCTTGGCCGTTCGAAACTGCATTGTCCAATCTACCTTGTATCTGAATTGTACCATGTGATTGTAGCCAGTGGTGGCTTCTGGTCTTCCTTCCTTTCTTGCTCCTTCCCCAGGATGTGCCCAAGGGCTGGGATGGAGGCTTAGAACATAGTGGCAAGCAGGCCCCACGTAGCGATGAAGGCAACAGCTGGTTGGGGAAGCAACCAACCTGGATCTCTGGCGCAGAAGCACCCAGCCGCCTGAAACCTTCCACCAGCCCAAACTTCTATGAGAAACAAAATTTTTAACGCATGGGAGATAAGAATTGTGTTAAAGCAGTCTCAAGTTAATAGCCTACTACAGCAACTCACTCCCAGAAGATGAATAAGTCAATGAACTCCCTGGAATAGGACATTTATCAGATTCCTGACAACCCCTCAGCCCCACAACACATTTCTCAATTCATTGATCATTCAGTGTGTTGGGCAGTTTTATTCCAGTATGGTCTCAGATTCCATGGCTCGTGCCATGTTGATACCAACAGCCAGGAAAATGGCAGGAGGCCAGATGTTTGGGTCTGTCCCACCAGCCAGTCCTCTGCACATTGGGTGCCCTTGTAACCCTCATCCTCTGGCTCTGTGGTCTGGCCTGACCCGCTTCCGGGAGGTAAGACCAGGGTGGTGCAGGAGACTCACCACTATTTTGTTCAGTAAGTTGAGATGTTATCAGAAGTGAGAGAGGGTTTGTATTTTTTAAAAATATATTCACCTAGCAATCGCTGACTACCTGGAATTTGGGAAGTTTTTTCGGTGGTTGAACATTCACGAGAACTGTCATTGTTGACTTCCAAATGCTGATAATTCCTATACTGACTTTTACCTGCGTGATGTTGACCTTTGTACAACTTCTCTCTTGCTCCCTCTTCTGTGCTTTGTCACTTTCACAACTACAGCCTTAATACGATTCTCTGGTGGGTGCCAGGAAACCCTAACCTCCATGGAGAACCAGTCTCCCTTTGAGAACATGTCAAGTGCTCTTAAAGGTAAGTCTGAGGAGCTAAGTATGTGCTAACCCTGGACCCTTGGGAAGGCCTCCTCGGTGGGCTTCTCGGCCTCACCTCCAAGAGGAGGCAACAGTTGGGCAAGAGGTCACGAGACCTGCAATCCTACCGAGCCAGGTCCACATGGCTGCAGGATGAAGCCTGCTTGGCTATCAGACCGGGCAACTTGAGTAGCACAGACCTGGGACAATCCCGAAGGCACCCCTGTTGATGAGGCTGGAGCCAGACTCACCTCATAGCTGGGGGAGGGGGAGGGTGCTGGGCAGCTGGAAGCAGAGTCACCCTGAGACTTAGTGCTGCTCTTTTGTGCCTGGAGGTGGGACATCCAGCCCTTGCTGAACCCTCAGGAAAGGGTACAGCTTGCAGATAGCTGCTCACGCACCAAGTGCCAGAGGGAAGCCAGACAAATGGAAGCGATCATAGGTAGAAGCTATACCAAGAGACAGCCATACCAACCAGAAATATGGTCTCTACAAACAATCCATCCTAATGGTGGAACAGAAAGCCCCTTAAACCAGCACGTGAGGGGAAGAGCTGCGAACATGTATTGGAATTCCCAGTCTTTCCCTGACGCCCTCTTTATGCCATGCACCCAGATGGTTCTCTTTCAGGGGATAAAGGCACGTCCATCTCCAGATGCCTCTGCCGGGTTCCCAGCTCCAGCTCCTTTCTTATGGGTGGCAGAGCGAGGCCCAGAGACCAGGTTTCAGAGCTACTGTCAGTAGGACCCTGGCAGTGGGAGGGAAGCAGGATGAATCTTCACAAAGCAGAACTCAACTTGAGGGTAGGAGTGGGGTTCTCGGGTAGGATCAGTGGACATGCCCATGTTGCATGAGCTCGTGTCCCTGGATGCAGAGAATGGGGTTCACTTCCTGCACAAAGGAACCAGAGCTTTCATCAGCCTGGCACAGGGTAAGGCCCAAAGGACTAGCAACTGCCATGTTAGCAGTTTAAGGGTGCTCAGCCACCACAAGTGGGATTTGTTTTTCTGACTTTCCTCATGTCTCACTGGGCAAGCTGGGGCAGGTTCTCTTTTGTCTACTTCAGCTCCAAGGTCTTCCAAAAGGTGCTGAGGCCACGGAGCTTCACATCCTTTGCAGAGTCCAGTGTGGGAGGGAGAGTGCAAGAAAAATGTGGGCCCAGGTCCTAACGAGGCCATTTACCAGCAGGCGACTTAACCTCCACGAGCTGACTTCCTCGTTGATGTGACACTATGGTCACGCCAAGTCTCTTAGGTTCTACCTGCCTTAATCATCAATGCTGGCAGTATCAAGCCCTTCCCATTTCCCACAACATCGCTAAGTGTACTGTGTAATCGTCACAGAAGTCCTATAGAGTCGATATTATTATCATCTCCCATTTAATTTAAAACAAACAAACAAACAAAAAAACCACCATAAACCAGGTGGGAGAAAATTGATGCTTCACAGCCAAGCACGTAGCACTGAGACAGCGCTGTGCTGGCTCCAGCTCTGGCTGCTTGGCTTAAGCCCGCCCTCTGGACCTGGGGCTCTGGTCCTCCGCCCCCCACCTCCTCTGCATACACCACCTCAGAAGCTGCTAGAACAAAGCATCCAGAGAGTAAGCCATGGGCTGTTGCTACCGGGATGACCTGAATCAGGGAGAGGAAGAGTCTTCACAGAGTCTCCGATTTTTCAGGCATGTGACAGAGATGAATGGGTTGGTTCAACTCTGACCCTGTTTCCACCATCACTCTGGTGACAGTGACACACTGTCAACCTTGCTGTCTTTTGCTCCTCATGACAAACACAGAAGAGAGTCATATGCCTAGTTTAAGGTCACCCCGTCATCAGGGGCTGAGTAGCTAGGAATTAGGAAGCTGGATAACCTTACAAATGAGAGGTGTGCTGCCTCAGCCTCAACTCAGGTGAAGTCAGAAGCTCAAGTAGTGTGACCAGAATCATAAAGGTTTCAGAACTTTTATTTATTTCCAATCTTTTTTTTTTTTTAATATTCTGGGCTGCACTGTATCCAGGAAGGGGCCCCCCAGTTTCACAAAGTAGGGAATCAGCACCCGTTTCAGACTTCTGGCACTAACCGGGTAGTGCAGCAGGACTGGGACAGCTGAGCAAAGGCCCTGGACTTAGGGCTGGGGGCGAGGGGGTGGCAATCTGAGGCCTGCTCTGTGGGTCTGCCTGGCTTCTCTGCCAGAGAAGCAGAAGCTGTTGGCATCACCCACCTGATTCCCTCCATGGTTCCAGGGCTGGAAATGAACTAATTAGAGCTGATGCTGGAAAGGAACTTATTAGACATGCTCCACAATTTGGGTCTGGAGTTTCCAATCAGCCATGCAGAGGCAGCTGACAAAGCAAATGCTCCCTCACCCAGCCTCAGCAGTAATTAAATCACACGCAGGGGTCTTTCAAAGATGGAGTCTGATTGCCAACTTTAGAAAGAGAAAAATAGAAGACGGGCCAGGAGAACGGGGGGGCTGGCTGCTTCCTCCCAGGCCAACTGCGCCTGCCGGCCGCCACCACTGGCCCCAACCCTGCCATCTGCTGTTGGCTTCGTTGCTGCAAGGGCAGCTGGGTTTGGGAGGCCCCCCATCTCTGTCGAGCATCGGGCCTGGCCATGCTGGGGTCACTTGTTGGCCACGGCAGAAAGCTGGTCTCGGATGCGGCCCAGCCCGTCTAACATGGTGTCCAGCGTTCCCTTACTCAGCTCCACGGTGACTGCTGACACAGAGGGTCTGTCCCCGCACAGGCTGGGATCCTCCTGGATCTGAAAGGAGAGCACGGCCAAAGTCAAAGCCTCCCCTCTTTCTATTTACTGCCTGGACCTGTGAGTTTGACTGTTGATGAGTCTCCAAAGAGAGGCTCTTGGGAGAGAGCTACGTGGAAGCCTGGGCCTGGAGTCACTCAGTGACAGGTGAGGGCAGGTGGTGGCCCAGAGCCCAGATGAGCTTCCGTCTGCAGCCAATGACCGACAGGTATCAAGCCCTGGCTCGCACACTCCTCTGACACTAACTCAGCCTCCTGTGAGAAGACAGCCTATGCGTCCATGAGGGTGCTTGATAGAGGGGCTCTAGGCAGTCCACCAGAATGCAGGAACAATATAACAATGTCCAGTTCTGTTCCTGTCCCTTTTAAAAAAGAGGCATCTTTTTTCATTTTCTTACAGGTGCTGAGTGTTCTGAATGCCTGGTTAAGTAAAAGGTAGCCCTGCATTATCTAGTCTAAACAAGATTATTATCTAGTCCTAGACAAGATTATGTGGCTTCAAAAGACTCTGGGAAGGACCAAAAAGTGAGAAGACCGAGGAGGCAAGAGGATGTGAGCAGGTAAGTGGAGAAGTGACACTTCTGCAGCCGCTTCTGGGAACTCTGGGTCAGCCACACCGCCAGCAGTGGCGGCCTCGTCTCCTGGCAAGGAGGTGGCTGCTTGGGCGGGACATTCCCAGGAGGCTCTGAAATGCGAGGGCTCATCCTGCTGTGGTAGCTGAACTCCCCTCGGTGTCACCCTTCGGTATCAGCAAATTATGTTTCAAATGTGTTTTGTGTTGGCTTACGGATGTTTTACAGCGCCCCTGGTGTGGTAGTGCACGTATACTTTATAAATACATACTGCACTTGGGGGCGCTAATATTGTGCGTGAGGCTAGCAATTCCCAAACTTTGGACCTTGTCCTCCACGGCCCGCAAGGTGCCCCTTCTTTCTTCCTGAGGAACGTGACAGCAACCTACCTTCATCTGGAGCAGGCAGGTGGGGACGGCCATGCGGTTGATGCTGTCTGAGGAGGTTTTGATATCCACTCTCCAGTCCAGATCCACCAGGCGCGGCAGGGAGACTGTGGAGGGCACAGCTCAGCTCCCAGCTTACACCCCCTCTTTCACCAAGCCCCCAACTGGCAGCTCCGAGATCTCTACTGTACAGTGCATTCGACCCCCACAGCAAGTCTCTGAGGGAGACGGGCCTCCCCCGACTCCCTGACTGGGCCCCTGACTCCATGCCCTCTGCACTTAGTCCTGATTCATGGGGGGCCGCATCTCCCAGCTTCTGCGAGAACACCCGCCCTCCAGATGTGAGGGCAGAATGAGAATGCACAGGTAGAGAAGGGGCCTGGCCTGTCTTAGGGATGCGTGGCTCCCACAATGGCGGGAAGCGCTCATTTGAGAGACAGGAGGACAGGCCGGGGCTTGTCTCGGGTTCCACCCCTTGATGAAACGCTGGGTGGGCTTCCACATTGTAAAATGGGAATGATCTTAGCCAGCTCCCAGCCCCTTGGAAGGACCAGTGCACTTAATGCAGCAGAGAGCTACAGCACCGGCGCTGGCTCAGGGGAAGGCTAACGATCATTCATTGAACACCTACGTGTACTCAATCTTTCAAATGCATCTCAGTGAGGGTTTCATTTTTTCTAATTGAAATATAATTATTTTAGGAATTACTTCTAGTGTTTCACTTTCTGCTTTGGATATTTCTTTTTTAAGAACTACTATAGATTACATTTAGTTGATAATTAGGAAAAAAATACCCACGGGGATTATAACTGAGATGAAAAAAAAAATGTACAAAATGATGTAAAAATAAACTATTATATTATTAAAAAAAAAAAAAGACAAGGTGAAATGAAGACAAACACAATGCACTCTGGGTTTGTTCTGGGATCGCTCACCTTGGCTTCTGGGAATATTCCAGCCCCAGGTTTAGAGCCGGGGCTGGCAAGGAAGGGAGATTTCTGGTACTCACTCTGATTTGCCTGGGCTTCTGTTCTCCAGGAAGATCTGTTGAAGAGGGAAATATGAACAAAAAGCAATGGAAAAGCATGAGTTTTTAGATAATGGGGGAGCACTGGGCCTCCAACCCATCCCTGATTTTTAACCCTGTAGGCCCCTCCTGACAGGAAAGGACCATGTAACTGCTCTCTCCAAGAAGCAGTTTTTTGGTCCATTTTATTAAGTTTAGTTATGTTAAAGGCCACATGTTTTCTATTAGTTTTTCTGTTAGTGAGCATTAGTTTTCAGAGCTCACTGATCCCACTTAAATTGGATATGTCTAAAAGGATTGGCCCATTGGGAAATGGAGAATGCACAGAAGAAATGCAAAGGTTAATCAACATTTGATACCACTGATATTAAAGGCACATTATTTGAAATGAGGTACCATTTGAAATTCGTAAAACTGGGGGAGAATTTATTTTTTTAAATCCCTCAGTGCTGGTGAAGGTTTGGGGAGAGTAACAAACTACTTGGTAGAAGCTTTTTGATGGCCAACTTGATAACATAAAGTCAAACACTCAATATGTCCGATGCTTTTAGTCTGGTACAGAGATAACTAATCATACGAGTACAGTTTACTCCATAATTTGCTCATTGAAGTGAAAACTGCCAACAGCCTAAACTCCAGCACTAAGGAACTTCCTAATTATCCATGATATCTTCACGTAAAGGAAGATAGTCAGCACTTCAAGATGATATTGCAGGTAAATATTTATTGATCTGCAATAGTTACTGATGTGATTAGTACTGTAAATTGCAAACCAGCAGGTATAAAATGGCATGATGCCACTGTGTTAAAACAAAATATTAACCATGAACATGTTTCTAGAACAATATACAAAACAGAAGCATTTACCAGGGACTCTCCAGACTAAAGTACTTACACGTGTTCCAGGATGATTTTGGTCAGCAGGTTTTTGAGGTTTGGGTGGAAGTTTTCAGGAAAGAGAGCCAGGATCGCTTCGGCGGAGGACAGGCCACGGAAGGTCACCAGCCTGGTGAGGCGGTGCAGAGCCTGGAGCAGCTGCAGGGCAGATGGGGCATCCGGGGAGCGAGGTGAAACAGTGCAGGAGCAGAGATCCGAGGGCAGGGCTCTACCCAACTGCTGGGAAAGGGAGTGCCTCACCCTGGCATGGCCGAGGCTGTCACAGATGCAGATGCCACGCGCTTCCCATCCCTGCCTGTTGCTTTAGAGGACAAGTGTAGCAACTGACACAGGAAGTTGTCCACTTGCCAGACACTCTCTTCCTGCAGACAAGGGCTACCAAATCCCCTTTCCTGCAGCAGACTCTGACCTTCAGTTAACTTTCTAGCCTTTACCCGTCAGCCTGAGGCAAGTTGGAAAGTCAGTGTGTTTGTGGGGCATGCTGCACGGGTCCCCTGCTCTGGACGGAAGGACTCCTAGACACCCCAAGACTCCACACCTCCAGGCTTTCTGAGTGTGGCAGAACACTCCTTGCCTTAAGCTGTGCTGATTGGATTGCTACCAGAGGTATTGGTTCTGGTGGACTTGGGGCCTGGAATCCAGGGTGGTAGGAGTGTCACGTCCTGGCCCCTAATCTGTCACCTTGAAGGTGACAAAATGCTCCAGGCCAGCTTTGTGGGCTTCCTGTGGAATAGGAGCACATGATACTGCCCTACTAGGATGCTGTGATACACTCGAGATCCTTCTAAGTGAATCTGTAGCCAAGTGTGACCTACAGCCTTTTGTGATTGATACTGATTGGCCAAATCTAGGAAGACTCTTGGATTTAATATTCTTTGCCTTGGGACTTTCTCTGAAGTCACAGAAGGCTGCTCGGCTATAGAGGTACAACCTAGAGGTAGGCGGGTGGGAGCTAGTGGATACATATCTCTGCCTCCCTGCTACCCAGGGAACCTTCCTGGGGTGTGTTCCATATGGTTTCCTACAGGATCTCAGCAACTACTCATTAAATACCCAGGCATCTGCTCCTCTTCCCTGTTTGACATCCCCATTCCTTCCTTTGTGCTTTCCAGAATCACGTCCCAAGTTACTATCTGCACCTGCGTCTTTGCCTCAGGGTCTACTTTTGGGGAATCCAAATCAAGCTTCCAACTCACTTCCATTATCTGACTTCTGCCTTTTACTGTTCTATAGCTCACATCAATGAACAGTGCTCCACATTGAAAAATAATAGCATAGGTCCCCTTTGGATGAACTCCTGTGTTAGAAACATATTTACCCTGGAAAGATAGGCTGTGGGTGCTACCTAACTCGAGCCACCTTGCTTTTCCTCTGAACTTAGTTGAAGTCCAGTAGCACATCCTCCCCAATTATACTCCAGTCTCAAAGCTTCGGCCCTACAATGCCTGAAAATCCTGCCCTAAGCTATTCAGTTGACAATTTATCAAGATCAGCAAGCTACAGGCTGGGAAAGAAAATCACACAAAGGTTGGCTTTTATCCATACTGTCTAGGTAACAAGTCTGAAAAGGAAATAGTCAGGAACTCTCATTCTGGTATAGTTCTCCTAGCCAAGCCTCATTTATACGGAAGTGGAGATTCAAGACAATAGCTTTTTTTTTTTTTTTTTTAAAGATTTATTTATTTGTGCATACAGAACTGGGGTACAGGCCAGAGGCTCAGGGGCGGCGAGAGGCTTCACCAGAGACAGAGTGGGGAACAGAACAGGCAGATCTACGAAGTACACTGCTGAGGGGAGCAGCGGGCGGGTCAGGAGAGGTCTGCCACGCCATGTGGTCACCTCCGGGGCAGGCGGGAATCGAACTCATGCGGAAACGGCTTTAGCTTCTCAGTGCTGTGCTTTAACCCGCTGCGCCACCAGGGAGGGCCAGACAATAGCTTTTTAAGTTCAGTAACATTTAAAAAGCAGCCATATCAAATCTGCTATGGTATCAACAAACATTTCAGGGTAAGACTTCCTTGGATGTAGCAATGACAGAGAAGCCAAGAAATAGACAAAGGAGTTGAGAGCCAGTGACCAAAGGTCATTCCTGACCTCACTTACTTGCTCTGCCTCCTCCTGGGGCACAGACAGGCTGGAGCATGTGGTGTCCAAGAGCTTTTTTGAGCCAAGGGCTGAACTGGGAAAGCTCTCTTGGCACAGATGTCTGACAACATCTTTCGAGGAGGCCTACAAATTAATTCACAAAACGAAGCAAAAAACTCAGAATCTGAAAAATACATGTTTTAGAACATAAAATTGTCTCAAAAAACGGTGTGATACCTTTGGGGTTCAAGAGTTAAAGCTGCATGGGACATTTCTATTTGAGTATTAGGTGTAGTTGATGTATTTTTCTTGTTTTTCCTGTTAAGCACAACTAAAATTCTGGGTACAATATAGAAAGTAAACATACGATGACTCTAAAAGGAAAGAAGGACACAGACCTACTTTGGACCTCACCACCACAAACTGACGTGGTGGTGAGTTCCCTGGGTTTATTTTTGTTCCTATATCCCAGGCCTCCAGCTGAAAAAGAGGGCAACCCAGAATGTTAATGGGGAGAGGGAAATGAAACCTCCAACAAATATTTGCTCGCTCTAATGAAAGGACAGAAAGTTTTCAGAAAAGAACTACCCTCCTCCAGCCAAATGCCACAGAAAGAACTGTGGCCCTGGCCACAGCCGTATCAGTAAAGGCTGAGCTGGAAGCTGACTTCTATCCCTGCGAGGCTATAACAAGGTGTCCCAACACTCTTGCCAGTGTCAGAAAAGGTAAGATAGGGAGCTGATCCTTTACCCCAGCCAGGGAGTAACCTGGCCTATGACATGTGGAATTAGTGGAGACTACATGAAGCCAGAATGTCCACTCATCCCTGTCCAGTAGTTAACAAGGACTCTTATTCTGTAGTGTCAACGGGCCCAAGTGAAGAACCCAGACTGCACCTTCAACCGGTGGTAATAAGGAAGCTCTCCCTCCCCCTGCTGTGATGAGCAGTGACAGAGAAAGCCAGTAAAAACAAAAGATGTAAATAAGCTCCAGACACTCAGTGTGTAATATAAAAATGTCTAGATCTCAACTGAAAATCACCCATCATACCAAGAGCCAGAAAGGTCTCAAACAGAAAAAAAAAAAAAAAGATACCCAGTAGATGACATTACCAAGAGGACAGGTATTAATATTATCTGACAAGATACTTTAAAACACTTACAATAAAAATGTTTCAGCAGGTGATTGACAATATGCCTAATTAAAATATAAAAATGAATTAAAGTATAGAAAGTCCCAGCAAGGAAATAGGAAACATAAAGAACAAAATGGAAATTTTAGAATTGAAAAGTACATTATCCAAAATAAACGGTTCAGTATATTGGTTCAATACCAGAATGGATGGGATAGAGGAAAGATTCAGTGAAATGGAGGACAGAACAACAGAAATTAATTTAGACAGAGGAAACAGGCTGAAAATAATGAACAAGAGTATCAGGAGCTGTGGGGAGTCCTGAAAGGATAGGACAAAAGACAGCAAGACTGAAAAGTACTCACAGAAACAATGGCTTAAAACTTCTAAATTCATCTAGAGATAGAATATTGTACATTCAGAAAACTAAGTGAATGTAAACAAGTAAATCCAAGGAAATCTATGCAGAGACATCATTATTAAAATTCTGAAAAATAAAGAAGAAAACCTGGACTTACTGAGGGAGAGCCAATATCTTATCCACAACAGATTTCATATTAGAAACCACAGAAGCAAGAAAAGTATATTTTTAGTTGCTGGGGGGGCGGGGGAGAAGAGGTGTCAATCTGAAATCCTACATCCAGCAAAACTATTCAGGAATCAAGAGAAAATCAAGATGCCTCAGATGAAGAGAAACTAATACAACCTGTCATATGCCCAACCTCAAAAAAAAAAAGGATAAAAGAAGCTCTCTAAAGGGAAAGCAAACAATAAAAGAAGGAGAAACTTCAGGAAGAAAGACAGGACACGATATGCAAAATACAGTGTAAACATAGCTTTTCCTTCTTTCCAGTTTCTAAGTTTTGTAGAGAAAATATTAAAAACAATTATATTAAAAAAGAGGAAATGTGAACAAGCATAAAGGTAGATAAGCTGTTGAAACATTCACACATCACTTTAGTAATCATTTGATTATAGTGACAGACTGATAGATTTTGTATATATAATGGAACAGCTAGAGCAACTGCTGAAACAGCATTAAAAAGAAATGCCTTTTTAAAGACTGTAGATAAATCTACGTAAAATTCTATAAATTGTTCAAATAACCCATAAGTAGACAGGAAGAAGAAAAAGAAACGAGAGAACAGACATAAAACAAACCAAAAATAGAATGTCAAATCTAAGGTGTAACACATCAATAATTACATATTGATAATAAACAGCAAATGGTCTCTCTCTATGTGTATATATGAAATGAAGACAAATTGGCAGACTGTATATGTCTGAATCAAATTCTCTTTAAATATAATGACAGAGACTGGTTTAAAAGTAAAAGTATAGAAACATATACAGCATGCAAATTTTAAAGGAAGCATCAGTTAAATCACACAGTAAAGAAAATTACCAGGGAGAGAAACAGACATTATATAATGATAAAAGATTCTACTTGTTGAGATATTCTAAACATGCAAGGAACTTAACAAGGCAGCAGCAAAATATGTGAAGCAAAAAAAAAAAAAACAAAAAACAAACAACAGAAAGGAAAGAGAAAAACCCATAAATATACATGGAGACGTCAACACCCCTCTTTCAACAACTGATAAAACAACTTGACAAATATTCAATAAGGACACAGAAGTACTCAACACCACCACCATCAGTCAATCTAATTGACATTTATGGAGCACTCTACTCAGAAACAGCAGAATATACATTCTTTACAAGTGCCCACTGAACATATATCAAAATAGATCATATTCTGGGTCATAAAATAAACCTCACTAAATTTAAAAGAACTGAAATCACTAAAGTGTGTTCTCAGTAGCTACAATGGAATCAAACTAGAAATCAATAACAAACATAATAGGAAAATCTCTAAATATTTGGAAGCTTAAGCAACACACTTGCAAATGATCAATAGATCACAGAGAAAGAAGGACACTTTAAGAAGTTACACTGAGTGAGTGGAAATGAAAAGACAACACAATTTGTGCAACATGGCCACAGAGGTGCTAAAAAATTTTTATAGCATTAATACATTAATTATTTTCTAATAATTAGAAAATAAAAGTCTCAAATCTAAACCCCCACCTCAGGAACCTAGAAAAAGAAGAGTATCACCATAAATCCAAAGGAAGAAGGTAGATTTTCCCTGGAATAAATCCCACCTGGTCATAGTGAATAATCTTTTTCATATATTGCTGAATTCTATTTGCTAATTATTTTATTAGAGATTTTTGCATTTATTTTCATAAGGGATATTGGTGTAGTAGTAGCTGTTTTTGTACCATGATTTTGGTATTATGGTAATACTAGCTATATGAAATTAATTGTGAAGTGTTCTTTCTTATTGTTTTCTAGAAAAAATTTGTAAAGTTAATTCTTTAAATGTTGTTTAGAATTCTTCAGTGAAAACATGAGAGATCATTGGAAACAATGGAGATTATTGGAAATTTTTAAATTATGAATTTAATTTCCTCAGTAGTTCTGAGCTTTATAAAAGCAGGAACAAAATACCAGATGGTTGGGTAACAAATAAGATAACAGATTTGAATATGCTGCACCAGTGCACCAGACTAAGTCTCTGGGGCTAACTTTCCTCAATAGTTACAGGGCTGTTGAAATGATCAATTTCATGTTGGGGAAGTTGCATTTTTTTAAGATTTATTTTTATTTATGCATACAAGAACTGGGGTGTAGGTTAGAGGATTCATCAGAGATAGTGGGGAGCAGAACAGGGAGATCCCCTGAGTTACACTGCTGTGGGGAGCCACACGCCGGTCAGGAGAGGTCTGCATTGCCATGTGGGTCGCCTTCCTGGTTGGGATGGAGCTCATGCTTCAGTGGCCTTGGAGAGCTTGACAGTGCTGAGACTTACTACCCCTTGAACCACCGGGGAGCCCCCCCACCTGTAAGTATTTTTTAAGTAAGTGTTCCATCTTGTTACATTGTCAAATTTATGTGTATGAGTTATTTGTATTCTTATTTTCCTTTTTGCCCCTCTTATTTTCCTTTGACATCTACAGGGTCTATAGATATGCTCTGTTGCATTCCTGATATTAGCCATTGGTATCTCCTCTTTATAACTTTGTCAGTCATGCTAAATGTTTGTCAGTGTTATTGATCTTTTCAAAGAACTTGAAGGGGCTATGGGATGAAATGGGAAAGTGGCAAGGCGAATGTAGGAACTATCCTAATGTCCCATCCTGAAAGTTAGCTCCAGAGACGATTACTGTGGGGCACTGGTGCAGCGTATGTAAGTCTGATATCTTACTTGCTCCCCAACCATCCGATATTTTGTTCCTGCTTCTAAAAGCTCAGAAAGGCGCAACGATCTGCCCAGTGTGACACAGAGATACAGTAGAGGAGTTGTTCGTCCAAATCAGGGTCCATTTCTTCCCAATTCCTGCTCCGACCAAATTCCCGAGGAAAAAACGCTCACCTAACGCTGTTCCCACCCCTCACGTTTACCTTCAGCAGGCTTTGCAGCGCGGCAAAATTTTCCGCTGTCAGAGCAGCCATCTTGTCCAAGTCATGTGACCAAGATACGCCGAGAAAGTTGGTCACATGTTTCATAGAGCTGCGGGGCATGCCGGGGGCTGTAGTTCTTAGGGAGGCAAGCGGTGCCCGGACTGTGGCGCGATGAAATGGGTGGGACCGGGCACCACCCGAAGCTGGAGTACTCAACCCGGAATTGCTAGGACCTTGACGTTGGGAAGACTAAGGCGCGGGAAAGGAAATTCATTATCCTTGTCCGTTTACCAGGTCAGGGGAAACTCTTTTTCCCTTGACCCAAATGAGTGGGGTGGTTGATTTGGGGAATCCAGGTGTGGGCTTGACAGGTGTCTCAGAAACTTCCCGTTCCTGGAGTACTCAGCGTCCCAGGCCCTGGGAAATGTAGCTGTATTATTTTGGAATTCTTGGAACTGAGAACTTACCTCCCTGTCCCCCTTTTCCCCACTATCTCGACGAATATAGAATTGCTTGCTCTTGTATTCGTTCTGTCTTTGGGATAGGTAGGAGTTCATCACATTTGTCTTATCCAGACAAAGAAGCTGAGTCACTTGTTTTTTAGTAATTTTCCCATAGACTCAGGAGAGATCTGTTTTGAAGAGCCAGTGAATATTTGTTTGGGAGAGAAGGCAGAAATGGAATCTAATGAAAGGTACTGCCTACTAAGCTCCTGATGACACCTATGGCTAGATGATTTGGGAAATGATTTAATTCACTTGTTCCATAATGTAATTATAACACATGTAAGAGTGGTTTTGTGTGGGCAGGACAGGACTCTGATATGTTAGGGCTCAGACTTCCTATTTTGAAACAGATGCAAAGTCTTGTCCTGGAACCTGGTTTTAAAAAACTACCTGCCTCCTTTGCCCCCCAAACCCACAGTTCTGGCATCTCCCTTATCCACCTTTAATATCTGCTTGACTCTGTCTAGGTTCTGATAAGTTCAAGTTGGAGAAAGATCTAATTGTGAAATTCCATACCTTGATAAGCTGCTAAGGTCATTTGTTCCTTTGTCTTCTACCTCTTCCCCCTCTTCCTTTTTTCCTGAGAATGAACCCATATCCGAGTTTTAGAGCTCTTTCTTGGACTTTCCCACTCCCTTCCCCATGGTTTGACTCTTGTTTTCTGCCATCAGCCACTGCACTCTTTAGTTTACTTCTGCTCCCAGGGTCCAGCCCACTGGCTTCTGTAAATTAACTGTTCATTAGATAAACACCCACCTATCCCCAAAGCAGTTTGCTATGATTAATTTCTGAACCTTTTCTACTGGGTTATTGCCTTCGTATTTGCATAAATGTGACTTCTTGTCTGTCTTTAGAAAGATGGAGCATTTGCTGCCCAGCCTCCAAGATGACCTCCCCAGAAACCCCTGTCATCAGGGTTTCCCACCTTTGTAGAGCCCTCCTCCCTCATTGTGTGAGTAATGACTATGACAGAAATGATGGTCCATCTCTTCTGAGATTAGCTGTGAAGGACTGTGGCCTACTTTCTTTTTCTTGAATGTCTTGTTCTGGGAAAAGCAAGATGCCTTGTTGTGGGAAGGCCTCTGGACTAAAGCTTCTGGCTAGTAGCCAACAAAAGTCTTCCAACAATCTCATTACTAAGTTTGGGAAAATATTTTCCAGCCCTGCTAGCACCTTGAGGTGGCAGTAGCCTTGGCCAACATCTTGACAATAACCTTATAAGAGATTCTGAGTCAGAACCAAATAGCTAAGCCAGTCTTAGATTTCTGGTTCAAAATCTGTGTGATAATTAATGTTTGTTGTTACACAGTAATAATAACTAATGCATGGAGGCAATAAAGCACAGGGGATTTAAAATTCAGTTAAACTTGACTCTCAACTCCACATGTTATTAACTGCATCATGAGATGTGTAACAGTTTCCATACGTGTAACAGTTTCCACATCTGTAAAATGGTGTTGACCACCCCTACCTCACAGGCCAGAATTGAATGAGAGTGACTGTCCAGTGGGAGGATACTCCTACCATTATTTTTCCCACTTTATGTGTGGAAAAACTGAGGCATGGAGAGATTAAGCAGAGCCCAGGTACAAGCTGGGGCAATCCAGAGTCTGTGCTGTTAATCTCCGGCCGTGCGTCTTCTCTTCTTCCTATAACTGAAAACTCTTAAGAAAAATCTAGTATTCTTGGACAGCCAACCCAGTGGCGTGGTGAGAAGCATTGGGCTGAGTGAAAGGGGTTCAGTGAACTTTGGAAAAAGACCTAAACCTAGATTCAACTCTTGGCTCTTGTTTGCTTCTGGCAAATTACTTCAGGTCTCTGAACCTGTTTCCTCATCTGTAAAATGGAACAATAATAAAAATACCTCTTGCCATTAGGGGGCGCTCAAGGCCGATTTATATCTAAATGAGTTGTCTGGCGCTGCCTTTCTAGCTGTTGACATCCCTAAAGGGCAGATCTCTCCGGGAGAGGATTTGCATTAGGGTGATGAAAGATTTCAGTTTACCCAGGAGTAAGCGAATCCTAGGACCCAAGACTTCAGCGCTATCATAAGACAGTCCTGGTCAGTCACTGCAGTTTGAGAGAAATCATCCCCTTGGAGACCTTATTCTGTCTTCTCCAGCAGGGCTGATGAGAAGGATATGGACACAGAAATTTCTTTTACAGCAAATGATTGAGCGCAGCAGTCTTAGTTTTAGAGTTTGTTTTTGGGTGATAACTTTACAGAGATGAAATTCATTTACACAGTTTACCCAATTAAGTATACAACTCAGTGGATTTTCGTGTACTCACATTGTGTGTAACTGTCACCACAGTCAATTTTAGAACCTATTTGCCAGGTCCCAAAGATACTCTCATGCCCCCAACTCCATCTATCATACCCTTAAACCATTATTGGATCTATCTCTGTAGAGATGCCTGCTTTAGACATGTCACAGACATGTAATCATATGTTTGTCTTTTTTACTGATTTTGTCCAATTAGTCTGTGGTTTTCAAGGGCCATCCATAGTATAGCATGTGTCAATAGTTCCTTGCTTTTTTGATTGCTGACTAATTTCCATTGCCTAGCGAGACTACAGTTTGCTTAGCTACTCATCAATTGAATGGCTTTTTTTCTACCCTATTACCACCGTGAATAATGCTGCTGTGAACACTCCTGAACAGGTTTTTGTGTGGATTTGTAGTTTTATTTCTCTTGGGATATAGACCCAGGAGTGGAATTACTGGGTCTTACGGTAACTCTATGTATAACTTTCTGAAGAGCTGCCAAACTGTTTCCGAAAACAATGGCACCACTTTATGTTCCTATCAGCAATGAAGGAAGTTTCCAATGTCTCCACATCCTCATCAACACTTGTTGTTACATCTCTTTTAGCTATCATTCTAGCCAGCCTGCAGCGTGTGAGGTAGCATCTCACAATGAGCAATCTTGTTTCAAGTACATTGTTTACATTTCATTGCTTAGACACTCATGCTTGTTTGAGGTGACTGGTGGAGAGTCAGGACAGCATATCCCCAGTCTGCCCTTTATTTCCACCACGAAATCCTGATGCCTTCTTCATCCGAAGAACACCTGCTGGAGCTGCACTAGCCCCCTCCCTGTGGTCCTTTGGGAGATCACCCACCCCCAATTTCCTGCGTTTACCTCTTCCTAGCCCTGATTCCATGGTTTGAGGTCAGAGCCCGTGTTCAGTGACTAGTGCTATGTCTTTCTGGCTTTATTCCACCTGCTTTAAACCAAGGAGTGGCTTTGACCTAATCAGCTCGCCAGAGACTGCAGGAGAGATGGGGACACAAGGCTGAAAATAACAGGCCTGCCCTGGCTGGGACATGTCGCCTATGTCCAGGCGGGGCACCATGAGCTCTGTAACAAGGGCTCAGACTGCGTGAGCGATGTTTTAGTTCTGACACAGTGGTAATAGAGGGGGATCTGATGCAAAAATCCAGATTTCTGGCTTTTCTTTAAATATTGACTGCACCCACCTTTCCACACAGCAATTTGGCTGCTCCCCTGAAGCCTGGATGTCTGGACCGCTGATGTCCCTTGTCCTCCCTCTTGGGGCACAGCTGGCCTTTCCATACACTTGTCGCCTGCCTGTCCCTGAGAGTATCTGCTGGTGTTCCCCTTCCTCAGACACCTAATGGGGCAGACTCAGGCCAAACTAGGCAGCAAGACTGAATGTGAGGATTTGGGCTCCTGGCTTTCTGGTCGTCTCCACATATCTCATGAGCCAGAGTGAGGTGCAGGGGTAATGTGCCTTCTAATTTGTTATTCAAGCTTCTGGAGTGGTTTCTATGGATGGTGCACTGAAAATATGAACTCACTTAGCCCTTAAAGTAGCCCAAGAACAATCCCAGCTTCCAGGTGGGAAAACTGAGTCAGAGAAAATACTCGCTCACAGTCCACGGGAGGTTAGTGGTAGGTCAGGAGCTGAGGGCGGGCGTAAATGATGTCCTTTTGTGAGCTTGTTCACAGGCTAGTGTCTGGCATGATGGGAGTCCGTTGGACACCTCAAGATCCATCTGGCCTTAGCAACTGCTGCCAATATGCTAATATGCTGATATACCCAATATGATAATGCACCAATATGCTGCATAGCTGGGCATGGTCCCTGCCAGGTGCCATCATTAAGGTCAGGAGTAGGAGTAGGTGACATAGATATTTGGAGAGATGAAACTGTGATTCTTTTCAGCTCCACCTTGTAACGAGTCTAAAAGCTGGTAGATGATGAAAGGGAGGAAGAAGGGCATTTGGGGATTTGTATTCCTAGGAGCCTGGCTGGATCCCCCTGGGGGGTCCCCCTGGGGGGCCGTCCCAGTCCCCATTACAGAAGGCTGTCGCTGGGAGCCTGCATTTCCCCTCCCAGCTCTGGCGATGGCCTGGTGATGATGACTAATCAAGTCGAGACCGCATCAGATCCGGGAGGGCACTGTGGCCTCATTTCTCATCCTCCTGTCCCCAGGAGAAGCCCAGAAGTGGCTGGTGACACGCGGCACTGTCCTCTCACACACACAGTGCCCCTTTGTTTCCTGACACGCGGCACAGCCGGCT